GCTCCGGAGAGCACGTCAGGTTCTGGGATTTGTCTTTATCCCTTTCGTGAGTGCTGGGGGTCGAGCCCAGGGCCTCACAGTGGCTGAGCCTGTGCTCCGTACTGAACCACATCCCTGGCTTCTGCACTCCAGCGCTCAGTTATGGTGGGAAGGCCACACGCACAGCTTTTCTGCAGAACAGAGAGAGAAGCCATTCAGAAACCCTGGGTCTCCACAGCAGGCTGCACGTGCTGTCACAGAGGCCCCGTGGTCCCCTCCCGAGGCTCCCTTGCCATCAACCCCGAAAGAGCAGACTAGATGTGCCACTCGGAGTGGTGTCACCTCTCAGGTCTGCCTGTGGGCAGGGTGTGCACAGTTCTGTGCACACGTCTAACGTGATGCTTCCCTTCTTTGCTCAGAGCTACGAGGCGGCTGTGACCCTGGACCCGGAGCAGGCGCAGGCGTGGATGAACATGGGGGGCATTAGACACATTCAGGTAGGCTGCGCTCACTGTGTTCTCGCCCTGCCTGCTGCAGGGGCTCTGTTCACGGTCTCTTCAAAATCATTGAACACTTAAAGCCAAGGCGCCGCGGAGGATCCAAGCGCCTGAGCAGTGCCGTGGGATGATGGTTAACAATGCTCACTGTGAGACAGGTGGACTTCCTTCAGGACAGTGCAGCACTTCAGGAGCGAAGCCATCTTTAGGAGTTGTTCTTAAAACGATGTACAGCTGCCTCAGACAGGATATACCAGAAATTAAAGTTCAGTTGTCAATGTAAAGAATTAGAAAGGATATACCCAAGAACGTTCAGAAAAAGAAGACAGGGTAATTACCATGTAAATTCACAGAGCTCTGGAGACTGGAGACTATCAATCTTCTGAGTGACTGTTCTCAAATGTAGTTGACGTTCATTTAATAATCACTGTTGGTCATGCAGACCTCACGGATTCGCCTGAGCAATGAGAAGCTCCCACACGTCGTGGTTCACAGTCCTGTGGGTAAATCTGAAGGATGTGGTCTGCTGTGAATGTGTGTGTTCGCCATGTCGGTTGGTTGTGTCATTCTGACGCCACCTTAATAGTCCCGGGTTGTCACTGTGGGAGCACAGGAGCCATCCTGGCAGTCCTGTGGTTCTGCAAGGAGTGTTTGTCACGGGGCTGCTCATCCTGCCCCTGGCTGCTGCCCTGAGGCTGGGGAGCAGGGCTGTGGAGGTGAAGGTTGAAGTAAGGCTTGACAAGGAGGTGCTCGGATGAGAAGGCTGTGAGGGCTGCGCCCACCCAGGGAAGGAAGGGCACGTACGCTCAGTGTACCTAAGGTTGGTGCTTGTGACCTGAAGTACCTCACATGTGGACAGCCAAGACCAGCGCAACGCCCACCTTCCACACAGATGCTGCTAGTGACGGCGTGGGGTGTGTTAGTGTGTTTGCAGGGAGGCCTCTCCATGGGGTCAGTGACGGAATCTCCCATCCATGGTAGCCTGGTCACAAAGTACCAGACTTTGAATATTTTGCACTTTCTGGGTTAGGGGTGTGTACGCTCTAGCACACTGGGCTTTTCTGTGAAACGAGGTCGATGGGCTCTAGCAGGACTCCATAATCCATCACTCTTTCAACCTGGCTCCGTGATGACCACCATGCTGAGTAGGACAGCGCTGTGGAACTCTGTCTTCACTGTCAGGGAGCAGCGCCTGGCCACAGCAGCTGGGCACAGCTAATGCGTCTGCTATCACTGAGAGAGAAGTGTTAGTCCTGGTTAAATAAATTCAGTTCTAGCAATCACCTCACTCCAATTCCTACAGAACACCTAATTGGAGTCATTGACTTGAGGGATAGAATTAAAAACACACATACAGGGCTTACAATTTAGTCAAGAAAAGAGCCATCTGAAGGCAAACTAAATTTTGTGTAAAGGGCAGAGAAGCCCAGTGATCTGAGACAATTCCAAGGTCAAGGGTAAGGCCCAGATTCAGGGTAGCCGCCACGGACCTGAGGACCCACTCCCTGGAGTGTCTTGAGAGCTGTGGGCTACACAAGGTGAGGGCGTCCACGCGTCCACTAGGCTTAACAGGAACCAGGGACTTGGAGGAGGGTGCTGGAATTAGCAAACCAGTGGTGCCAGACCTGGGCTCCTGGGCCTGGGCCAGTTTGGCTTCTTTCAGCACTAACTGTATACCTTCTATCCATCTGTCTATCATCTACCTATCCATTTATCATCATCTATCTGTCTATCTATTTATCCATCTATTTATCTATCATGTATCTATCTATATATCTATCATCTATCTATATATCATCTATCATATATCCATCCATCTGTCATCTATCTATTATATATTATCTACTATCTATCTATCTATCTATCTATCTATCTATCTATCTATCTATCTATCTATCTATCTTATCTATCAATCTATCTATCCATCCATCTATCTATCTATCTATAATATAAATAGACACAGCATATATCTATATCTGTCTGCTACACAGGACATAGCTGCCTTCTCACTGTACAATTCCTTTTTTTCCCCTCGTCATTTCCACTTTCTTTTTCACCAACTGCACACATAAGCACCATGAGAACCAGAGGTGAGTCACAGAGTCTGAACAGTGTACTCAGTGCTGGGGTCACCATAGCAACCCCGTGGCGTCTCACTGTGCTGTCAGGCAGCCAGAGTCTGAACAGTGTACTCAGTGCTGGGGTCACCATGGCAGCCTGTGGCTCGCTGTGCTGTCAGGCAGCCCCTGAGCTCCACAGGCACATGTGGGAAGATGCATGTTGGTAGACAGCTGCTAGCGTGGAGAGGTGATGTTTTAAATTGTGACAGAAAGTTGAGACTTCTGTGGCCTCTGCCCGCATGGCAGCTGCAGCCGAGAACAATGGCAAATCAGTTTGTAGTTTTACAGTGGGATGGGCAGCTTCCTGAGGGAAAGTGTAACCATCTCTGCCCCAGACTGAGCAGATCAAAGAAAGAGCCCATCTCAGTCCAGTGCGGTGAGCCAGGAGCTGTGCCGGGGGCTTACTTCCGGGCGTGTGAACTCCCAGCCCTGAACCCATCTTCTGATCAAGTCTTGGCATTGTGGAAGGCTTGCGTTAGGCGAGGCTGAAGATAGAACAAACTAAGACGCTAACAGCGGACGTCTGTCTAGTTGTTGCTCTTCCTCCCCACCTCTACCCCAAGCCGGTTGTTTACAAAGAAGAGCAGCTCAGTGCTGCCTTCCCGAGAAGGCTGTGGGGTGATGGCTCCTCTCCCTGCTGAGAAATCTGGAATCTGTGTGTGCCCCTTAACTTAGCTGGAGCTATCAGCCTCCACATTCCCCAGCTGGCTCTTCCCTGCCCCAAAGCACTGAGAGATAAGGGTAAAATTACCCAGATGAGGTTTCCTTAAGGGAGCCTGGGTACTGGCAGCTGGAGGAAGGGGAGGCCAGTCCCCCATCTTCAGGGCTGTGCTGAGCAGTGTTCTCTTCTTCCCCGCAGGGGAGCTATGTGTCTGCAAGGGCCTACTATGAGAGGGCCCTGGGCCTGGTTCCAGACAGCCAGCTGCTGAAGGAGAACCTAGCCAAGCTGGATCGCCTGGAGAGAAGGTTGCAGGAAGTCCGGGAGCAGGACCACACATAGTCAGAAAAGGCCGCAGGCTCGTGGGACTCCAGGCTGGAGGAGGACAGGTGGGGGCCTTACTCACACACTGACTGCCAGCCAGGCGCTCCCCTCCTGCGGACACAGTGGGAGATGGCTGCTGGTGACTGCTGAAGGGACACAGCAAAGGGGAACCCACATCTGCCAGGAAGAGAAGGGGAAAGTGCCGCTCTACCGGCTCTGCTGCGTGACTCCCTCCAGAGAACAAGCAGCCTTGGCAGCACAGATAGTGAACTGTGTTTTTACTGTAGCAGAAACACAGAGGTGTGGAGTCCTTGGAGCTGCTCCTCCAGAAGGCTGTCTCCTCTGGAGTGAGCCCTGGGGCAGAGTCAGCCCGAGCTCAGCTGGGCCCCAGGAGCCCAGGGCTGTTGGGAGATCCTGTGGTGTACACAGGAGCCGAGCACTGATGCCTGGGCTTGCCCTCATGTCCCCGAGAGCATCGCTAAGCAGTTCATTGAATCCTGCCCTGGTGTAAGTGTTTCCAGTGCCTAAAACAAAAAGATGGGTCTTCTAGGGGTCTGTGTGGCTAACGTCTCTACAGGAAAGTCGAAGCTCGGCATCCTTAGTTCTTCATGGAAATGTTTTACATGCTTGTATCCCAAGCTTCACGAGAGCCGTGTCTCCACTCCAAAACCGTGTGTGTGAGTTTAGCCAGGCGGCTGGGACCCTGACGTGTGCTGCTGGTGTGGCACAGCAGGGTACAGCTGCACACAAGTGTTAGAGTTCTACTTTGTTCTCCTAAGGTCAAGACTTGTGAGATTTATTATTTTTGAAAGGTAAACCTGAGCACTGAGGAATCTCCACTACTGTTACACAATTCCTCACAGACTGAGTCGAGGGAAGACAGCTCTACTTACTGACTTTTGAGGGTCGGTGAGAATTCTGTATTTGAAACAGTGGCTTTCTGCCTAGTAAATTTGGAGAGTGTGGAGAGTACTCTAAAACCTTACGGTAAAGTCTGAATTCATAATTTTTTAAAAATATGTTTATATTTAAAAATAAGGAAGGCAAGGTTGAAATCACAATTAGAATTATTTTAGTGTTATTTATTATATAACTTATAAAATATTTAATATATACATCCACATTTCTTGTCTTTTTTTCTCTGTACCTAGTCATTTTGATAGCATCTCTCAAAACCAAGCATATGAAAATTGCAGAATAGGAAAGCTTTAACACTCTCCCCAAGTCATACTGGTTATTTGCCACTAAGGCTGGTAGAACAAGGGGCCAGCTCAGTCTTGGGGAGTGGAGGAGGTGGAAAGACCCACCCCAGGAAACAGAACGCCGCAGCCACGCAGGTCCTGATGCTGAGCCAGACATCACTCAGACCGCTGGAAAGCCAAAGCCCCTCACCGTGCAGCCAGCCCTTCTCTTCCTGCACCCAGCACCAGGAGGCAGTGCCTGTGTGTGCTATTTCTGTAGCAGGTAAGCTGAAATAAGCGGCTGAACGCTTCTCTGAAGAGGCTCGCGAGGGAGTTTGGTCCAGCCACACCTCTTCTTTGGGGCATTGCTCCTCACCTGCTGTCGGCATTACGCCTCATAACTTGATCCAGAACCTTATTTTCTGCCACCTAAGACATAGATCCTTAGTCCAAAGGTCAAACAATGTGCTGTAATATTTATTATAAAACAATCCCTGGTCTCGACATTGGAAGTAGGGATCCTTGGTAAAAGTAACTTCTTGGCAGCGCTTGTTAGAATAGAGCTACCAGAATGGTGGGTTCGAAGGGACAGGTTGAACTGCAGTGTTTGACATGACCTGCCTTACTTAAAGTGCTACCAAAGTCTCAGTGCAAGCTTGTTGGAATAACTACAAGGCGATGACAGCGTGAACATTTCTGAAGAGAAAAGGCCCCATGGCGTCCAGAGGCTGCCGCCTCATTCCTCTGCCAGACATTAAAAATAAGTACTACTCAAAAAGAAAGCCACGCCAGCTTGCCTGGTTGGCTTGGGTATTTGGGACCCTTCTTGAAATGAGCCAGTGAGCTAGGCTCCATGGCTGGAATGTTGCCTGTGAGAAAACCGATGCTGAGTGCATCCTGTAACACGCTGTGTGAGCTCTGTGATGTGGACTAGCAAGTGGGGTCGTTCTTACTCCATAGGAGCAGAGAGCTTGTCCTGAGGCCTTTAGCACTTGGCTCCAGGGTGGCTGGACAGAGCTTCTGAAGCCTGAGCTGGCGCAGCCCTTCTCCTCCTCATTGCTCCCAGAGACTTATGCACAGCAGGAGGCGCTCCCCCACTGAGCCCTAGCCACAGCTAAAACTTTCTTTTAACCCAGCCCCGTGTCTCAGAATTCTGAACTCGCCCTGCCTGGGTAGGAAGAAGAGGCAAGGAGCGAATCAGGATTTGTTTGCCTGGGCTGAGCCCCCAGCATGGCGTTCCTGAAATGTTTTCCTCTCACAGGCATGCTGTGTCCCCTGCCCACCATCTCTCTCTCTCAGGCCTGCCCTCCATCTTACCTAGAGCCAGTCCCTGTCATGAAACCCTCCCACGGCAGTCCGGCCCTGTCCCTTTGACATAGGTTACAGAAATGCTCTGGTGGCTAATTTTAAATGTGGGGATTTAGTCAGGACTTTTCTAAGTGATTCAAATGTTTCAGTTCCTGATGCCGTTTATAAAACCTGGTTTGCTGGTGGAACGCAGGTGAACAAACCAAAAGTCCTCTGTGGGGAGTGGGTCCTCTGTGGGCCGAGGGCCTTTTGGTTTGTGTGGTTCTGGGTCAGAACCTCACGCCTGCAGGCGAGCCCTGTCATTGGCTGCCGGGGGACATCTCAGCCCTGGGTTAGGTTCTTTTGAAAACTATAAAGACGCTCCTGGTCTGTATTAGGATTCAGGTTTTCTTCTGAAGTCTACAGTGGAATTTCACAGGCCTTTGCAGCTTTTAGCCAAGACTAAATAAAATTCCAGACCACACCATAGAAGCCTGAGGTGGCTGAACTAAGGGAGGAGAGAAAGCAAGCGTCACATTTCCTGTGACTGTTAGCAGACAGCAGCGTGGCTGGTAGGAGGCCTCCCGGCCTGGCTGCCCTGGGAGATCAGCCAGGCCCTTTCAGACTCCCTGAAACAGTGCTCCGGTGCCAGCAAAGCGTGCGGAGCTGACTACTTTTATCAAGGAGATGTGGGTAATACCACAAAATGTTTATGCCTCGATACTGAACTAAAATGAGCCAAAGAATTGTCAAGATTGAGTCATTGTGCTGTGGGTTTGGTCAGGGCCGTTCTTTCTAGACTGGCGGCAGGCGGCTGAGTGGGGTGGCTTTCTGCTTGTGTCACTGGACTATAACGTGTCCTTCTGTTTAGAAAATGCTTGGCTGTCAGATGGAGAGGCGCTGTCTCGCCATGTGCATGTGCCAGGCAGGGTGCCAAGGATAACAAAAAGAACCAACAAAACCTGACTCCTTTGGACTCACAGAAGGGGTCCGTGGCACGGGTTTGCCCTGCCTGGCTCTGCCTGGTGTGCAGACAATGGGCTTTGTTATTTTGCTCTTGATTGCACTTATTAAAACCTGTTTTTTATGAGCTGGGTGCAGTGGCGCACGACTTTAATCCCGGCACTCGGGAGGCAGGGGCAGGTGGATCTCTGAGTTCAAGGCCAGACTGCTCTGCAGAGTGAGTTCTAAGATAGCCAGGGCTATGTACAGGGCTGTGTACAGACCTGTCTCGGAAAAAACCAATCAACCAACCAACCAAAACTCTTCTTTAAAACAATCACAGGCAAAATGCCTTTCTGTGGTGCGTCTGCCCAAGAGAATAGGAAGATGAGTTTTGACTGAAGGCGCGTAGCCATGAGGGGCGTCTTTGTTTTCTTGTTGTCAGACCCCACTTTTGACTGTGCCCAATACCACAAAACCTGAGTATGTCCAGCCTCATTTCCACGCTGCAGCTGTGTAAGCTAAGGCTTCAGAACCAAACAGCACTGTTGGAAACAGTGAGCCCTGTCTGAGTTTTCAACACAAGGCATGTTGTGTAGTTCTGCGAACACTTCTGGCATGCGTGTTTTTGTGAGCTCTGTTCTGAGAGAGCAGGTAAAGAAATCATAGTACAAACCGAGGCTTCATAGTGAAGCAGGACCATGTGGGGGAGGGGGTAAGACACCTGGAGCCACCGGTGGGTTCTTGCTGAAATATGCACATTTACTCACCAGGATCCCCCGACTAAAGGCCTCAGGGCACGGAACTCTAAGAACAAAACAGCTAGCACCCCAGGGCACAGTCAAGGGCTGATTGTGAGTCAGCGGTCATTCCCACCTGGAAACTTGCGGGCAGAGGCCAGGGAACGCCGGATAGTCATCGTGAGAGTGCAAGTCTCTGCTGTGCGCTTTCTTTAGTTAGTTGTCGCTACCGTGGGGCGCACTAGTTCCAGGTCAGTGCTTCAGAGTCCTGGTCCTAGCGTCACTCGACGCAGTCACCTCGCTGGGCTTTGTGGAGACAGTAACAGTGACCCAGGCAGTCTTAGTGGTGAGCACTGCCGCCACAGAGCACGTGACAGGCCACCCGGAAATGGTGGTTGCCCAGCCGTGTCCCAGGGCGAAGCAGGTTACAGTCCGTGGGCTTAAAGTTCTCGTGGCGGCCCTGTCACCGCCGGGTGAAAGGAAGGAGCATTTTCCCCCTGGGGACTGAGGTGTCTGTTTCGGCCCTGTGGAAGCTGCTGCTTGCTGTCGGGGCGGAGTTCTCTGACCCTACTGCTCAACATTTCTGTTTTGGCTGAGTATATATAAATGTACACCTGCTTATTTTTACTATGCTGCTTACAACATTTCTCCGTTTAAGTCTGACTGTAGACTTTGCCTCAGTCTTTCAAAAATAAAATGTACGTAAATGTCTATTTTACATAAAACATGGTAAAATAAGAATTCTGTCTGGCCTCAGTCTCTCAGGTTCTCTGATGAGAATCCACCAGTAGCCATTGTGCTGGTGAATCTGGGCTTCAGAAGTAAAGATGGCCTGTCCCTTACCTGTCAGGCGTCTGTCCATACTGTCTACTCACCCATCCTAGATCTCTCCCTCTCCTCCCTGGGTAGACACCTCCAGGCCAGGCTCTGCTCTCCACTGGCATGGTAGGTGTCTCCAGCGCTTGTTGGTCCAAATGGAGGTTAGACAGCAAGGCTTCCCTCAACACCCTGTGCCCCAACACTCCCTCCGGGCCAGGACTTCGCCTCCCACACGCTGACCTCTGTATTACCCGTCCTTTTCCTCAGCTCGCCGGCTTTCGCTGGTTCTGCCTTAAAGCTCACTGATGGGGATACAAGCCTCCCAGCCCTCACACACAATGGGAGAAAACACCACAGTCTCCAGTTTCTCAATAGCTGATAGGGTTTTTGTTTGTTTGTTTGTTTGTTTGTTTGTTTTTAACCACACAGTCACACTTTTTTTAGTGACCTGCTCTGTCTATTCAGGGTTGTTTATATGAGCAGGGGAACCTTCACAGTAGCTACACCACAGAAAAAATGTCAGTCCTGTCCCCTAGCAGCTAGTAACTTTCTTTATATCCTTGGAGAGGGTGAGGCATCGTGATCTCCTTCTGCTCTAGGATGGGGCGTCACAGGCCTGGCAGTGTCTGGTCCTGTGCTGAGAGTCGAAGGCACAGCCACACTCTGAGTGGCTGACTGCTGCTGGCCTACGGTAGGGCAGAAGGGTCCGGACCAAACGGAGGTGTCCTGTGAGCTACACGTTCACTCCAGACTAGGCCCCTCCGAGACCAATGTTCTTTACTTACCTATGTTCTAATGTTACTTTAGATGTAATTATTCTCTGCTACCACCATTTCTACTCGCCACTGCCTTATCACTAGATCTGAAGTTCCCTAGCTGCCTGCTACTCTGTAGATACCATTCACACAAGAGGTTCTTTCCCTGAGGATGGAAGGGCCTTGTCTGGGTGAGCCTGCACGGGATGAATTCTCAGCATTGTTACAGGGTCTCCTGTACGACCAAGGACTTGACCTCTGGTAACAACGGGGGCTGCGCAGTAACAAGGAGCGAGACTGTGCCCGGTTGTGTGGAGGGACCCAGAGGACACAGGCACAGCTGTGTGGACCACGCACAGGAGGGCAGGAGACAAAGTCTGGGAAGCACTTGGGGAGA